GTAAAAATCTTATCACTAGTTTTAAATTACCATACCTACTAGTTCAATTATATGCAGAAACAATGGATCTGCTAACTATTTTAAGTAAGTTACTTATCATATAACATCTTTTTGTTTATTAACTATAGTTTCAGAGAGTGTCTTTCTTGGATTTGTCTTAGGACTGACATGAGAATAACCATATATTAGTATTGGTACAATGCTCTTCTTCAAGATTTCTTACTCTTAATCACTAGCAAGAGAGAATATGCAGCTTGGAATTGACTAAAATGGAGTACAGCCCAATCTGTACTTTCAAATATATGGGTAAATTTTGGCTATACTGATGATTATTATACTACTGTCCTGACAATAGTCACATCACTACACCTTATCTGGAAGGTCACAATCTCAACATCCACTGGATCAGCATGTGAAATAGCCTGCATGAGAAACAACACTTAATAGGTTATGGCGTTAAATACTCTGAGTACTATTTAAATGTCTTCACTTGGGATTGAACCAGTATCTTGTGATTTGACTTGTGAAGCACTAATTACTGTACTATAGATCTACAGATCAATAATTAAATTTCTTTATAAATATAAATTTAAAAAATATAGAATTAAATATATTATTATGATAAAGCATTAAAATGAAAATTTTATCTTATAAAATTAACAAAATACTAATTAAAACCCTAATAAATATGTTATAAATAGCAAATATATAATATGAGTTATAGCAGAGTATAGGATAAGTTAAGTAAATATGATGAAAATTATATTATTAACAATATTAAAACATCAAGTATGGTTTTGGTTTATAAAATAGTATTCATCAAAATATATATACAAGCATTTATTAAAATTAATATATAAAATAAATAGTAGAGATTATTGAAAGAATTTTGTATTTTGTATCAAAAATAATTTGATTGGTTATAAACAAATAGTTAATAATTCTAAATATAGAAAGTTTAAAAGTTTAACTAATATTATATAAAAAAATTATATATTATTAATTATTCAAAAGACATATTATTTATGGAAAAAACAAATTCATTTAGTTAAAATAATTTAATATGCAGCAATTAAATAGTTTTATAGATCTGATAAATTATTTATAAAGCAAGCCAAAAATTAATATTATTGTAAAACAATAACTTAAATAGTAAGATTACTTTTAAAATCCATTAAACATAATTGAAAACATCAAAAAAATAAATGATATATAATGATTATTCAAACATTAATTATTTTTTCAATTAAAGATAATAATAATACATTACTTGAAAATGGTATAACTATTGTAAAGCAACAACTTAAAGAATCTAAATATTTTTGATTTATCAAAATTATTAAAACAAGTTTTATATTTTTTGGAAATTAATCAATTTTCTATTCTGTTTTATTTGTTAATTATTTTTGATATTACTACAATATATTATTACTATAAAAAAAATTGAGTTAAAAGGTAATAATATCTATTATGGATATTATTTTTCAGATGAATAAAATGATATCAAATACAATTGAAAAGTTTTATAAAATTAATATGTGAAAAGAAAAAAATAATTTATACTTCAAAACTGAAATCATTCAATTACACACAAATTAATTAGATTTATTATAAATTACTGTCAAAATATAATTCATTTAAACCTTAAAAATAATATATGTATTAATGATGCGATATTAATTAAAATAACTTTTTCATATCTGAATTTAAAATATCTGAATTTATAAGATAACCAAATAATATTTAATAAAGTGTTATATAAGATTACACAAAAATGTAATAAATTAGAATATCTGAATATTTTTATTAGTAACAATTGTGAAATTATGTTATAATTTGTAAGAATTTTATTTTAGTGAAGTATATTAGATTACTGATAAATTTATAAGCCATATCTTAAATTTATATATTAACTTATAATTTTTAGATATTTCATTTAGCCATGGAGAAATCAAAGATATTAATATATTAATACAATCACATTTTAAAATAGAATATTTTGATTTTGCCAGTATTATGACCTTTCAAAATAATTTTTTTATTGTGACTATTATTAGAACTTCTTTAAATTTAAAATATTTTGATATTTCTAATAACAATATCAAAAATAGAATTGTTGAAGCAATAACATATATATGTTATAAATTGAAATATCTTGATTTTGAAAAGTATAAGTTTATTACTAAACTATTGATATATAATGTTATTCACTTTTGTTTTAAATTTTAGCATCTTGAACTTGGATTTTATAATATTTTCAATACAACTATTGAAAAAATAACCTGTTTGTGTTCTAATTTAAAATATTTTGATTTGAATAGTTGTGAAAAAAATGGTTATAAAAAAGTTGTAAAAGGATTTAATCCAACTATAAATATCAAAAATTATAATTTATTATATGAGCAATCTAATTCTAAATTATATAACATTTTTAATTCTGATTTTGATAGCAATAATAAACAGAATTTAAAAAAACTACTTCTATCTATTTCAATATTTATCAATATTTTAGATAGTAAAATAAATGTAATAACATATATCTCTACTTTATAAGTGATTTGACTGGTTTAAAATGAGATAATATTTCTTCATACAACTATATGCCTGATAATAAGTAAAAATAAATCATATCACATTATAATAGGCCTCTATTATATGCAAATTCACATATATAGCAGAATCTTTTTATTTTAAAAATTGCCAAATGGCTATTGGACATAATCCATATACAATATTAAAATATGAACAATTAAAATAATTTTTTGTCTAACATCTTTAATAATTTAATATTATTAGACAAAGAATTGATATTAGTTATTGTTTTCACAAATTAAGTATAAATTGTTCTTGTATTACCTTGTCTTGATTTTTACTTATCTATTTTGAAATAAAAAACTTAATCTTATCTCATAAATATAATTATTGTGAACATGCCAACAATAAAGCCCCACTAATGAGTTTGAATAATTTCAATGATTCCTAATTTAGAAGATGATGAGTCATTAATATAAATGATCTTAATAAAATACTAATTTTGTTAATCTTGAAAATACCACTTTCATTAATCTTGATAACAGAGGTAAAACTACACATTTTTTCATTCCTAAATACAGAATAATGGTAAGTACAAAAGCATTTTATAAACTTAATTAAAAGTGATATAATAAATAGTAATAAAATAAATAGTGATATATACTTTGAAATTAATGTTGAAAAACATTATTGATACCCACTTACAGAAGAAAAGAATGAAGTATTTTATATCATCCCATTCTTTCAGTCTATCCCAAAAACCAAGTATTTTTCATTATTTTTTTGGTTAATAATTTAGCATGAGTCAGTGATTGCAATCTCTCTGCAAAGTAAAAAAGATAATAATCTTGATAAAAACCAGCGTAAACGAATCTCGAAAAGGCAGTAATGAGGAGCGGACCGACAATTTCTATTACTGCGTATATCAAAGGACTTATGTCTTGGGAAGTCGAAATCTCCGCAATCTCCAGGATCTAAATGGGTTAGCCAACTTTGCACCGATCTTCCCAAAAACAGACAAAAATTTTTTTCACTTTCTTCCCTGCATTATCTGACTCTTTACAACTTATATAAAAATACCACCATGTCTTCACCCTCCTCTCCTATTTCTACATCCTCTACTTTTACGGAAGAAAGGTCAACTCGCACGATGGCGGACGTGGTGAAAGATCTAGATACGGAAGAGCTTATAGAATATTTAAAAAGGCGGAATCTAAAACTTATTGAGGCGAACTTCAAGATCTTACGCAAATGAAAGAATTTCCGGTCTTGCCTTTCTCAAGTTAAGCAAACAAGATCTCAAAGATTGTGGGTTTAAAGTGGGACCGGCTACTGTTCTTGCAGATTTTATCGAAGATATTACAGAACAAAAATTAAGAAGCTTCTCGTCATATAAAACGCTGGATGAATTAAAAGATGTTCTTCGTAAATACAAAGTAAACGGCGAGGATATTGCATGCATCAAACAATTCAACCTGAGTATGTGGTATTTTTTTCTTGGTAAAAACCGCTTTCTCTATAGAGAAAGACAATCAAATTTCCAGATATACAATAATTCATTTTCTTATTATATAGTTTTCAAGGAAATCGATGACGACGACAAAGCCCTCGAACAATGTATTAACGAAATAATACTACGGTTAACAAATGTAAAATCAATGATAGAGGCTAACGAAGCAACGCGTTGCGAATTTATTTCATCCGTATTACACGCATCAATATCAATTGCGAGAAGAATGACCAACAAAGAAATCCATATAGAATTGCAAAGGGATATTTCAGGTGAAGAAGCGTCCGGAAGAGTTGATTACGCTATAACTGGGATGGAGGATCTTTTATGTATCACTGAGGGAAAACCACGAAACGTTAAGATTGGTTACCTTCAAAATATAAAACAACTCGAGAGTTCCTTCCATATGAACAAGAAGAAGCGAACTGCGGACGAAGCATTTAAGATCGAGGATTACGACTATCTATATGGGATTGTGTCAAATGGTATGTGAAAATTTTCTATTATGGAGCAAATTCAAAGGACAACTCTCAGTCATGATCTTCGTTCTGGCATTGCTAATTATCTGATTTATTTTTAGGCGCGGATTGGCATTTTATCATGTTCACTTCCGAAGGAATTTTTTGTACTAGCAATAGCGAATATCAAACAAATCTTACGAAAAAGGCTCTTAAGGGTAATCAGGAAAATCTGAGGGAAGATATAAAGCAGGTAATCAGTATAGTTGTAGGATTTTGAAAGATAGAATATTTGCATGTGATGAACCCGAAAGCAAGAGGCGTCGCGTACGAGAAAAAATTACCAAAAATAACGGATAGATAGTTTAGTTTTACATATTTTTTCATGTAAACAGCGATAACTACTCTATTTATATCAAATAAAAGTACTTTTAACAACTGACAGGCTTTATTGTACTAGTAAAAGCGAATCATGCTGATGATATTGCAGATATAAAAACCTAGCTAATGGATTCTACTATAGGATTTTTATCAAAATAATCACCAACCTTATCTTGCAATTTCATGTCTTTGTATGTTTCGGCCTTGGGATCGGATACTCGAATATTAAAAGGAACATTTTTAAACTCTTCTGCTACTGAATTTTCGCTTCTACATCATCGTAGATTCTTTTTCGAATATGACAAAACTAAGATAGTTGGTTGGAAATCCGAAAAATCCATGGATAGGGATAACAAGAAACTCGATATTAAACTGTTTGCCCTTGTTTCCCGAATCCACGAGAGGATCATAATCCTAAGCGATACATTATTAGTAAAGACACGAGTATGAAATATGTGGATGAGTTTTGCTATAGCATATACCTACCATTTTTTCTTTTTCTTCTGATATGAATAAAATGAAGTCATGATCTCGCTCATATATATATATGTTTTTAGTCGGGGATTCGTGTCTTTGCTATCATATATACCCGTCATTTTTCGCCGATCATGCCAGCAAGGTAATTCACATGTCTTTCCCTTATCAAAATTTTCATTTTGAATGCCTGTTAATATCTCATCTCTCAAAGCCCTTGTATTAAACATTCTAAAAAATTCATTCTCAGAAAAGATTGCGGAAGGCGTAGATGTTCCGGAACTAGATCCATGCTCGTTATGCAACCAAGAACTTTTTTTGTATGAAATAAAAAACCCCGATTACTATACTCGCCTGTGGCCACTCATATCATCGCGATTGTGTTGAAAATTCTATCAAGAAACATTCAATATGTCCAAGAGATAATTGCAAGAAGGAGGTAGAATCTACGGTTGACAGTATTCCTGGAAGTCAGAATACCAATGACCTGATGAATATATCTCCATCATTATTTAATGATTTTCCAATATTTAAAGATACCTCCTAGAAAAAGCGTGTCGGTGAATCTACCAATAAATCATCCAGTAAGAAAGCAAAGAAACAAGTATCAAAGGAAGATTCTCCTATATTAAAAAAACTTATTGAGGAATTGACATCAACGATACCTGAAAATTCTGAAAAATAGAAGTCAACGAAAACACCAATAATTTTTTGTATCATTATAGCAAAATTACGCAGACTGAATCTAAAAGTGAGATAGAAAGTAGGGAGGTCATTGAAAGCCATTTTAACTTTGGTGAAGCTATGAAAAAATGCTTCGATCACTATAAGAATTTGAAACATGGAGATCGAACTTGCTTGGCTCTTGTTAATGATGAAATCCGGAAACAACTCCCCGATAACATCATCAATGATGCATTGAAAAAAAGAAAGGAGAGAGCAGGATAAATATATGATTTATTTGTTAGTATTGGTAAAGTGAAAACAAGGGACATTAGATCATTTTCAGCATCAAATATTTCAAACTTAAGAAAATATAGATTATGTGATGGTCGAAATTTTAAAAGGAAAATAGAATATGATCGTTACTGCACCAGTGACATCGATGTCACGTCTGAATTTACAAAAATACATG